GTCCAGGCTCACCGCGCGGGGGGGCGACTGCGGCGCAGGCTCGGCTGCCCCTCTCGGATAGTTTTCCGCACGAAGCCCCGGAACGCGCGGACGTTCTCGTCGAACGTCCTGTTCCTCGTCGACTTCGCCGAGTCGATCGCCTCGGAACAGGAGCGCGCCGGCCCCCAGAGGCCCGCTCCTGGCCCCCCCGCCCGGGACGCTCACCCAGCAGACGAAGCTGGCCCGGGTGGCTTTTGCTGGGGACCCAGACATGCGACTTCCTGGACAGCAGCACCCCGCATCTGCGTACCGGCCCCGTGTGCTGCCCCCATGTATCGCCCCCGTGTGCTGCTCCCGTGTATTGCCCCCTTGTACTGCTCCCATGTATCACCCCCGTGCGTATCGCCCGCAAGTGTCGCCCCCATGTGCTGCCCCTAAGTCTCGCCCCCCGTACTGTCCCAAGTATCGCCCCCAGAGACGGAGCCCTCCGTCCAGCCACGCGCGCGCAAGGAAAAAGTGCGACCGTTCGGGCCCCCCTCTCTCTGATGTTCCAGACGGGGTCCCTGGAAGGCCCGACCCTTTCCCCGAGACCTGGTTTCCATCTCGAGTCGTTTTCGACGGTCCCAAGGCGATGTCGGGCGTGTCCCTCTACAGGAGGGCTATTCAAAACTAATCAAGAAATAGTTTGGGGACGATGTTTCAATTATTTTTGGACTATGTTTGAATATTTTTGATGTTTCGCCCAAAATCCACCTGTAGGGGGACATGTCCGACCTAATCCCAGGGCCTGGTGGAGGCCCCCATGGATGGCGGAGAGGACGCCCTGCTGCTCAGGACGTTGCGTGTCTGGGGAGCTCCGCGGGGCACTGGCCGCGAAACCACCGCTCGGCGGCGAAGGCCTGGGCAGGGAGAACGGGGCCCGCTGCCCTGGCCTGGCCAGGGAGGCGCGCACCGACTGGTCGTGGTCGTGGTCGTGGTCGTGGTCGTCGTGGTCGTCGTGGTCGTGGTGGTCGTCGTCGTCGTCGTCGCCGTCGTCGTGGTCGTCGTCGTCGTCGTCGTCGTCCCGTCGCGCGAGGGGGCCCCGGGCCCCCTCCGATGGGGGCCTGGGGCCCCCTCGTCGGCCGAGGGCTTCGGTCGACGAGGGGGGGCCCCTCGACGAGGGGGCCCCTCGGTCTGGCTCGCTCCGGCGCGTCGGCGAGGCAGCGGGGGGGAAGCGAGCAGGTGCAGGCCCCCTCGGAAGGCTCGGACGCTCCCCGGCCTGCTGGGGAACGTCCAGGGCCTTCCCTGGAGACGCAACAGGAGCACTCCTCAGAGGGCGCGGGCGCTTCCGAGAGGCCCCGCCGCCTTCTGAGCGGGCCCTCTTCTGTGTCTCCCTTGCCCCCCTCGCTCGCCGCCGACCGGCTTGCTCATGATCCGAGGGGGGCCCTCGGATCACGAGCAGAACATCACAGCGGCAGGTTGTCCCTGCTGTGGTCGGGCTCCACGGCCCCGAAGCCAGCACGGGGGCTCCGGGACCCTCAACAAGATGGCTCAGGAGGAGCCGCCGATCTCGAGGCAGTGGGCCGAGTTCGACGAGGATCGACGATCGGCGTTCACAGCTCCCCTCGCGTCGTAAAGCCTCGGGACCATCAGAAACCGACTCAGGGTGAAAACCCTGTCCCGGGGAACGGGTTGAGACCCCTGGGCTCCACGTCATGAACAATTCCCGATGTCGGAAGTCTGGGGAGGCGGGCGCGTTTGCTTCTTCTCATGCTTGTCAATCGTGTCTTATTGGTTGCTGCTAGCTCGTACTTCCTCCTCGCGTCCTACGTTCGGATCGGACGAAGGGGCGGGATAGTAGTAAAGGGCAGGGTTGGCGAATCGCTTCGCGAGCTGATTTCCCTGGCGCCGCTTGACGCCAGAGGCGCCAGTGTGTCGAGGAGAGCGCCTAGCGGCGGGGCCCTGACCAGCTCCACCCGGTGGGGGGGGGGATGGCTGGCGTCACAGCCCTGGGCAGGAAATCTGGGACCCGCGGATTTCGGGTCGAAACTTCTTTTTTTGTTGGGGGGGGAGGGGGGGCCTCCTAGAGATCACGGGGGTCCCAGTGAGTGCTCAGGGCCTCGGGCGGCGAAGACGAATGAACGATCACGCTCCCGTGGCAAACATCCCATCAGACGGAAGCCGACGGCGGAGAGCAAAGCAGACTCGGGCACCCTCGGAGCGCCCTCGGCGAGGCACGGCTGCTGGAGAGCACCCCGCAGCGAGAACCCCTCCGCGGGGCCGGCGATGCCCTCCGAGCCCCCTGCGGCTGCTTTTGCCCGAGCTCTGGGCCGACGCCTCGTTCCAGCCGGCGCAGGACACCATCCTGCTCCAGGGGTCGCGGGCAAAGGCGAAGGTGACCTCCTCGTCGAACTCGGCCCACTGCCTCGGGGCGAAGGCGCGCACGGGCAGCGACGCGTGCGAGTGCAGGCTCCGCATGGAGCGGCTGCGGAGGGGCTCGCACGGCGCGTCGTAGGTCGCGCACCCGGCGGCGATGCCGAGGGCGGACAGGACCGTCACGGAGCCTCTCGGCGGCGCGCACAACATGGGGAGGGGGGGGGGCAAGGCTACTTGGAAGGAGGCTGCTTCTTAGAGGGCGCCAGGCGTACATCTACGGATAAGGCAAGCGCCCTCTAAGAAGCAGGGTGCTTCCAAGACGCCTTCCCCCCCTCGCCTCCCCCCCTTCCCCCTTCCCCCCCATCCACCCTCCCCCCTCCCCCTCCCCCCTTCCCCTCCCCACTCCCCCCCCACCCCTTGCCCCCTCACCCCTTGCCCCCTTCCCCCTTCCCACCTCTGCCCCTTCCCCCCCCCTCCCCTCCTGCGCGTGGCCGAGCCGTGGCGGCCCTGAGATCGGTGCAGAAAGAGGGGGTCTGGGGCTCCGGGCGTGATGTGTCGCGATGTTGCGTCCGCTTTGCAGCGTCGGATCCCAGCACGCACGCAAGAATAAAGGGAAATTAGGACACACAAATAAATACACACAAATAAAAATAGTCCCCATATTTTCCCATATTTTCTGGGTTTTGTCTTCCAGCCCAATTCCCATATTTTCCCATATTTTCTGGGGAATCGAGGATTAATTGTGTCTGTGTGTTTTTTCCCCTCCTGAAAGAAGCCGCACCTAGGCGGCGCATCGGCAGAACATGTTGTAGGACAGAAGGCCAGGGGGCACTCATGCAAAGCTGAGGTCACGCGCGCCGGCACGCGACCACCACATGTTGCGAGAGTCGGATCTCAGTGGGGAGACCAACATATACCGATATGTCGCTGCTCCCAGGACCTCTTTCCCCGGGGGGGGCGCTCTGACTAGAATCTCGGTGCGAATCCAGCGGTGGCAGCGAGGGCCTCCCAGGAAGCCGAGCAAGGGAGAACGAGGGAAGGGCAGCGGGCTCAGGGCCCGTTCCTTGCCCCTCCTCCTCCTCCTCCTCCTCCTCCTCCTCCTCCTCCGCCTTTTCTTCCTCGTCATAGTCCGCCCCCCTCCCTCCGAGCCCTGCCCGCCTGCACGGCCGCTTGCCCGCACTCCTGTCCGCCCGCCTCCCTGCGCGATCGAGACAGAGGCTTCTCGCCGCTCTCGGCGTCGCGGGGCCCCTCGCTGGGCCCTGGGGTGCCGCCAAGCAAGGACAGAGGGCGAGCATCGGGCCCCTGGGAAGCGCTCCGGCGCTCCGCGGACCCCGCCTTCCAAAGAATACATCGTGCCGTGTTTGGACTCCCTTGTTCCCTGGGATCGTGGCCGCTGGATTCGAGCGGCTCGCATCCTCGGACTTCGTGTCATCCTGCTGTGCGCGCCCCGCTCTCGCGCTCACGCTCCAGGACTTCCTGATCTGAACGTGCTCCGCCTTCTTCTCCCCCTCGCCCGCGCTCTTCCCTCTGGGACGAAGCCAGGACGAGGATAAAGCAGGGTGAGGAAAGATCGAACATCTCTGCGACCTGGAGGCTCTGGAGGATGTCTCGGGAGCCGCGGCACTCCCAAAGCTCTCCAGAAGGCTCTGAGAGCGTCCAGGAAAGCTCTGGAACGGGTCTATCCTCGTCCTGGCCTCGTCCCAGCCTTCTCCCGTTGTGCCCGGTGGGGCTCTGGTCCCCCCCCCTCCTCCTCCTCCTCCTCCTCCTCCTCCTCCTCCTCCTCCTCCTCCTCCTCCTCCTCCTCCTCCTTGTCCTCATCCTCCTTACTCCTCCTCCTCCCCTCGACCACACGTAAGACCCAGACCCCCTCGAGTCATGAAAAATACACTGCGGGAGGTTTTTCGCCAGTTTCGGTGCCCCCGCCGCTGCCCCGAACGCGCCTTGGGCCCAGGTCGCCGCGGACCAACCACACAAATTTTTGGGCTCCATGCGGGCCTCGCTCCCGCGCGGCACGGTGCACCGTGCTTCGGCTCCGGGGGCCGCGAGGCCGTGCACCGTACGGCAGGTTCACGTCGTGACGACCCCGGCGTTGGCTCCCGACACCCTGGGGATCGCTCGACCTTGAACGATCGGCCGTTTCCGAAACCTCAGTGCGTCCGACATCGACCGATGCTGGGTCGCCGGGGGCGTCCAACGGTGAACGACAGCGGCGGGGTCGCCGCCAGGCGACACGACGCGAGCCTACCGCAGTGCTTCGGCTCTGCGGGCCGAGAAGCTGTGCACCGTATACCACTCCAGGGTCGAAGAGGGACGCTGGAGGCGGCCAGGGTTGGGTCGGGCATGTCCCCCTACAGGCGGATCTTGGACGAAAAATATAAAAAGAACACCCCAGACATATTCCAAACTGATCAAACATACTGGAACAATCGCCCCCACACCCTGCGAAATGCTTAAGAAATCATGGGTTAAGAAATTCAGAGTCTCAGAACTTGAATAAAAACCCAACGTTTCTATCAAAATCTTAGGATTCACACTGAAACATTAAGAATAATCGAGACTCTGGCCGAAAGCTTCAGTTTTCTTAAGCATCGCCTAAGGTGCATATTATTTTTTTGCCTATTTTTGAATCTTCCTCTGGGAGAGGGACGGGCCCGACTTCAGGCCAGGGGGTCTGAACGCCCCGAACCCAGAGCCTCTCTCGAACCTGCCCGCGCTCCTCTTGCCGTCGCCCCCGGACGTCCACTCCCCGTGCCGTTCGGTGTCGTGCGTGTCTTTGTTCGGGCTCGCTGATGTCGGGAGCGGCAAAGAGGGGGGTGTCCAAGAGGGGGGGGTGCAAATCATGACCGGCGGCATGTGCGCGGCCCAGCGGGGGGGCCAGGGACGCAATGAAATAAGAAGAGGCGCCATGAAATCTGGGGAAATATCATGGCCCACGCCATGATATCCACCCCCCCCTAGTCATCACCCCCCTCTTTTCCGCCCCCGATGATGCAGCAAGGCAAGCAAGGCGCGCCTGAGTCCGCCGGGGAGGCGGGGCCGGGAAGGCCGGCGCCGGCGGGCCGGGCCCTTCAGATGTAGATGTGGGAAGTGTGGTCAGTGCTGTGTCTGTGGCGTGGGAACGCTTGCTCCGAATGGCTCCATTGAGTGTTGTCCTGTGATGGTGTGATGTAAATCATCGTTCGCTTCCAGGTCTGCTCGATGGTCCCCGCCGATGGTCCCCAGGAACATGTATGCTGCTCGATGGTCCCCGCCGAGGAACATGCACACGTCCGAGCGATGCCGCGTTCCCGCGGACCCGAACCGGTGCTGGGCCGCCTCAGGCCCCCGGACGGCCGCTCCAAGATGTAACGGCGGCGCCCCGGGAGGCGCCGGCGCGGCGCGGTGCCTGCAGGTCGTCCGCGGACCCCAGGGGCCCGTGCCGAGCGGGATTTCCACCGGGGGCGGAGTGGCGGGAGGGGGGGGGGGCTCGAAACTGGGGAAACAAAAAGGTACTGATACAGTCGGCCCTGATTGGACAGGACACGCGAGAGGACACAAGACCCTTCCGAGGGCCACACTGCCACAGGAATGCAGGAGGCACTGGTCGCGAGACACAGGACACAAGGGTACCCTTGATTTGGCAGGGTCGACCTACTAATCCGGGCCGACTGTTCTGCTACTCCCCGCACCTCTCCCGGGGTGCATTCTGACTAGAATTTCGAGGCGAATCCGACGGTGGCAAAGAGGGCCTCCGAGGAGGCCCAGAGAGGGGAGAAAGAGGAAAGGGGTAGAGGCATAGGTACCTTTTCCTCCTCCGAGGAATCGGGACCTCGAGCAGGCATCTCCGCATCGAGTCAGTTCGGATCGGCAGCCAGGAGACTTGAGCAGGGACCGACCGTCCCGGCATTCGTATAGTCATACCACGAAATGTTCTGAGAACCCACAAATGTTCCAAGAACAAAAACGATGCTCTTAGAACATAAGCCCGACGTGATAAAATTGAACAGGTTCCGCCAGAAAGGTTCTGAGAACATTTCGTGGGCACCACAAAACGTTCTTAGAACATCGTTTGGTGGGGCCATAGGCCAGCCAGGACGCTTCGCCACTGCTTGATCAGTGGTAAATCATACACCGCCCCCTCCCCCGAGACCCGGGAACAGTCCAGTGGAGGGTGTCTGTGTCTACTTGTTGTGGCGGACACCCCTATAGAGCTGCCCCCAGAGATCCGATGTCGTGCTTTGATGTAATACGCGAGTCCTCGGAAGTCTCCACCCATTCCCCAGGGCCGGCTCTGAGAGGCACTGCTTGAGAGGCAAAACATCGCACCGCACCGAGCTGGGGGCACCACTCGGAACGACGCCTTGGGCAGGCGGCCTCCCTCGGAGGGCCCAGGGCTCTTCAGTGAGAGCCTCTCGAGAACGGAGGGCCTCTCGAGAACGGGGGGCTTCTTGAGAACGGGGTCCGAGTAGATTCTCGAGGACTGAGGATCGAGGAGGAGGATTGAGGATTGAGGAGGAGGAGGAGGAGGAGGAGGAGGAGGAGGAGGAGGAGGAGGGGGAGGAGGAGGAAGGAGGAGAGGGAGGAGGAGGAGGAGGGAGGAGGAGGAGGAGGGGAGGAGGGAGGAGGAGAGGAGGAGGAGGAGGGGTCGGAGCATTGCGCCGCATCGCCAATGCCCCGCCGATGCGTCGGCGACGCCGGCGATGCATCGGCGCCGTCGGCGTAATTAGAGCACATCGGGCTCTGCGTCGAGCTGCATCGCGGGTGCATCGGCAGGTGCGGCGCGATCCTCCCACCCCGCGTCTTCCCAAACCTCCGCTGTCTTAGGTCGGGCATGTCCCCCTACAGGCGAATCTTGAAGGCAAAACAAAGAATACCCAAATATACTCAAAACGTGTCAACAAAAATAGTTTAAACATCGTCCCCAGACTATGTGTTTAGTACTTTGAATATTCCTCCTGTAGAGGGACATGCCCGACCTAACCGTTGTCTTGATTGTGTCGATGCGGGGTGCCCAGAGTTGTTGCCCACTCTGGCTCGGACCGTCTTCGAACGGTCCTCTGGGGTCCAGCGAGGGCTCCCAAGAGGCCGAACACGACACAACAAAAAACGCCGCGCTCTGTGTTTGGCTACGCGAGCACGTCTGCGTCAGAAAGGGTCGGACGCTTCTGCGAGGGCTTCTATGCCTCCGCGCGAGAGGAGGAGGGGAGGAGGAGGAGGAGGAGGAGGAGGAGGAGGAGGAGGAGGAGGAGGAGGAGGAGGAAGAAGAGGGGGAGGAGGAGGAGGAGGAGGAGGAGGAGGAGGAGGAGGAGGAGGAGGAGGAGGAGGAGGAGGAGGAGGAGGAGGACGAGTACGAGGAGGAGGAGGAGGAGGAGGAGGAGGAGGAGGAGGAGGAGGAGGAGGAGGAGGAGGAGGAGGAGGAGGAAGTGAGAGAGGAGGAGGAAGAGAGAGGAGGGGAGGAGGAGGAGGAGGAGAGGAGGAGGAGGAGGAGGAGGAGGAGAGAGGAGGAGGAGGAGGAGGAGTGAGGAGTGGGGGAGGAGGAGGGTGAGAGGGGGAGGCGAGGAGAGGAGAGAAGAGGAACGTAGAGCGTGGAGGGGAGGGAGAGGAGGAGGGGAAGGAGGAGGAGGAGGAGGAGGAAGACCAGCAGGAGGAGGAAGAGGAGGAGGAGGAGGAGGAAGAGGAGGAGGAGGAGGAGGGGCAGGGCCGTTCCCCTCACGGCGCCCCCTTCTGCGCGCGCCCCGCCGGGAACCGGTGTGGGGCGGCTGCAGGAACCGGAACGGCCGGGCCTGGCCGGCGGGCGCCTGCGCGCGCAGGTGCGCGAGGCCCGCCCCGGACGCATCGCGCCTGGGCAGGAGAAAGAAGCTGAAGAGGAACCTTTTCGTCGGCGGCTAGGCAGGGGTAGTCTGCGCTGGCGGATGAAGCTAGCTAAACGGGGCCACCGTTGTAGAGAATGGCCACCGTGCAAGGAAGCTGAAGGGAAACACTCGAAGAACACACGTGGGTGACGAACAGAAACGGGTCTTACGCACGATGGCATAGCGACCTTACACCGCGGCTTACGCGGGCCGCCAGCGCGGGCGCTTACACGCGGCCTTAAATCAGAAGCTTACGCGCGAATATTGGCGCAATTGACTTCGTTTCTGCCGCTCAAATAGTGTCATCAACAGGAACTGTCGGAGGTCCGCACAGAATTCTCGGATTGGCGCTGGAGCGCCCTGGCGGCGCTTCCGGCGCCGATCCAAGAAATCAGCGCGGACTTCCGAAAGATTCAAGTTGGTGCTATTCTTTGATTCTGAGCATCCGCCACTGAGAACCCACGGTGACGACGACGACGACGACGACGACGACGACGACGACGACGACGACGACGACGACGACGACGACAGCGACGACGACGACGACGACGGCGACGATCCAGCAACTTGTTCTATACACCACCTCATCGTGCCTGGCTGGGGCCGTCCTGGGCCCCAGCATGGTTGCTTGCTCCGGGAACCAGGCCGCCACTGCCAGCTGAGCACAGGAGGAGGAGGAGGAGGAGGAGGAGGAGGAGGAGGAGGAGGAGGAGGAGGAGGAGGAGGGGAGGAGGAGGTAGGAGGACGAGGAGAAGAGGAGAGAAAGAGGAGAGAGGAGGAGGAGGAGAGGAGGAGGAGGAGGAGGAGGAGGAGGAGGAGGAGGAGGAGGAGGAGGGAGATGAAGAGACAGAGAAGGACGGAGGAAGAGGAGGATGAGGAGGAGGAGGAGGAGAGGTGGAGGAGGACCGAGGAGGACCGAGGAGGAGGAGGAGGAGGAGGAGGAGGAGGAGGAGGAGGAGGAGGACGGGGCTCGGGGTTTTCGCCCGTGCCGCGGCCTGGGCCCTGGCATGGTGTACAGTCGACCCCCATCATAAGGACACTCGATGAGGATGCAAGGGCCTTGGAAGGCCATGCCGATGCTCTGCCAGCGGGACGCGGCCAGCGAAAGCGACCAAGGATGGGCCGAGGAGGCAGGGATGCAAGGGGGTACCCTTGCGCCCCCTGGCCGAGGCCGGGATGGCCCTGGCCAGGCACGGTGGTGGTGTGCAGGGATGCCTTCCGCCGTTGTTGTCCCTCCTCGAGCCTCAGGCCCGCCTCCTGGAACGCGAAGAGGTCCCCGAGAGCGACCTCTGCGGGGACAGCAAGCGACCATAATCACATCGAGGACGCATCCTGGGGGGTGTCTTGCGCGCGCCAAGAATCGTCGAACAACGGCACCAGCTTCGTAGTGGCCGTGGCAAGCCACAACCACAACTCATGTCGACGTCGGTGGGTTCTCCCCCGAGCCCAGACCCCCGACGTCATGATTTCTCCATGACGTTGACCCCCAAAGGTCTCGACCCATTGCCCGGGACGGCCCCGAGGCCTGGCAAGGGCCCTCTGGAGGCCGAAAATGGCAACATACAACAACTCACACATACACATACACACGCACACACACACACACACACACACACACACACACACACACACACACACACACACACACACACACACACACACACACACACACACACACACACTTCGCCGTGTTTTCTTCATGACCCGAGGGGGAGATGGGGGAGATGGGGTCGGAGTGGGCGGGGTCGGAAGATCGCGATGCGTCGCGACGCCAGCGGCTATGCATCGGCGATGCATCGGCGATATCAGCGATGCAACGGCGACGCCAGCGTGGAGAAAATAGGGCTCCACATCGCGCTGCATCGCCGAAGCATCGACGATGCCTCGGCGTTGCGGCGCGATCCTCCGACCCCTGTGCTCCGACCCCACCTGGGAGGCCCGGAGTCTGGGAGGGGCCCTCCCGCAGAATCCACTCAGGTTGTGATTGGTCGGCTTTGCACGGTTTCCCCCGGGGCCGTAGGCGACCCGAGGAGGAGGAGGAGGAGGAGGAGGAGGAGGAGGAGGAGGAGGAGGAGGAGGAGGAGGAGGAGGAAGGGGAGGAGGAGGAGGAGGAGGAGGAGGAGGAGGAGGAGGAGGAGGAGGAGGAGGAGGATTATGCTAGATTATGCTAGCCTGGTCTCCGCAGCTGCGAGGCACGCACCACGGCGACAATTAAAAGCTTCCCCTACCCCAGGCCGTCCCTGGGCGATCAAGTTCGGCTTTGGTCAAAACGGCTTGCCTGTGGTGGGGTGTCGACCTTCCCACAGACGGCTCAAACGTCCAGCCATTGTTCGGGGGTTTCCTCGACACAGCTCGACAGCAAACCAATCCATCGGTCCTGAGCGTACCTGGCACATCGGCGACAGAAGATCACACGGGGGAGGCATATTAGCCTGTGCCCCTGGGCGCGGGCTCGTTCGATCCTACCTCCGTCTCCCCCCAACCCAACACGGTGGGGCGGGGCGCCGGGAGGCGGAAGGTGGGGAGGCTCCACGGCCCCCCCTTCACCCCCACCAGGCCGGGGTCCGGGGGGGTTGGGTGGGTTCGAGTCCCGCTCAACCGGACTCGAGCCCTCGGAGGTGTCAACGAGCCCTCTGCCTAACACTCCTACGTAGGCTGCGAACTCAAGCACATCCGTAACGAGTTTGAATCGCTGTATGTATGCAGCTCGGTGCCATTCAGGGTGCTGCTGCAGTCGAGCTCCTAGCTTGGCATACTGATCGGCGAATTTGTTTCCCTCCCACAGCTCGAGGCCCATCTCGTTTCGTTGGGCTCTCGTGGCATGGGCTTTTACTTTCTCGAAACTGACCCCTCGCGGCCCCAGACCACCGTTTTCAGCGATCAAGGCCCAGCAGCGCGCCCACACGTCTCTGTGTGGCGTGGCGGGGCGCGCCGCCCACGAGGGCCCTCTCAGAAACCCGTCGATGACCGACTGGCAGTCGGAGACGATGATGATGGGCGGGCAAGCCACCTCCAGCACGCGGAGCACGGCCATCAGCTCGCTCAGGAATATGGATTGCTGCCACTGTGGCCTTGGCAGGGGCCCGTAGCATGCGTACTTCAAGGACATGTCCTCGTTCAGCTGCACGAATGACCAACCTCCGCGTCGTAGGGCAGCGTACTTGCCGTACAACAGGCTGCCATCGGAGTACACTCGGCCCGCGGCGAAACCCGCGAAGTCGCCCTCGACGTGAATGGTGTCGGCGACGGCGATGTCCCACAGGCCGAGCTCCACCGCGGGGTCGTTGGCCAGCCCACGGCCCCAGAGCTGCTCGGACCCTGGCCATGGGTTGGCTCCTCGCTGCACGATGTGGGCGCCACCCACGCGCCGACGCTCCTCCTGCCGCGCCGCGCAGACGAAGGTGCGGTGTCTGTCCGTGCCCTCGCCCTGGTTGCACGCCTTGCAGATGGCGTCGGGTGCCGCTCCTTTGGCATGCAGCCGCGCCTGCGGCCACGTGCCCCCGCACCAGAGCGTCCTCACGCGCGTCTGGTGCGCCTGCGTCCAGCGCCCGCGGCATGGCCGCCGCAGGAGCGCCCTCACAGGCTCAACGAAGACCGAATGCACGTTGAACTCGCTCCCCCACTTGGCCAACCACGCGTCCTTGAGGCCCTGCTCGGTGGCGGCGCGGACGTAGTGATGCAGCTCGTGGAGGGGAATCGTCCTCAGGTCGATGATGTTGGTGCCGATGGCAATCGAATGCGCCGCCTGGGTCATCCAGCCGAGCCTCTTGACCGTCGCCACGAAGGCCCCTGCTGGGCCTCTCACCTGCTGCCACGGGGCCTTCGCAAGGCCCACTCGGAGGACCCACCGCTTCCATGCGGCCTGGAGCCTCGGCACGAGACTCGGGTCGTCCTCTGCTTCTTGCCAGGTCTGCGCCCACGCCCAGATCGGGGACGCGTTGGCCAAAATGCCTGGGTCTACGTCGTCGGCAAGCAGCGCCAGGCACGTGGACCGCCCCTTCGCATTACCAGCCATGGCCGTCGCCACGCTCTGCCGCAGCTCGCCCAGCTTGGTGTCGGCCATACCCATGACATTGACGCCGTAGAGCAGCGACGGCACCTCGGCGTGCCTGATCACCTTGTGTGCCGGTCCCCCGGCTCGCCGGACCCTCGCGATCCGATCCCGTCTGGCGGCGAACTTGACTGCCCTCTTGCTGAAAGCCCCCACTCGCCGGTATCTGCCCGCGGCCGTCGTAACGCCGAGGTGCTTCTCTTCCTTCGCCACCCTCACGCCGCGGGTGCGGATGCGCTTGCCGAGCTCCGCGTTCAAGGCCGAGGTCGAAGCCAGGGCGACCGTCTTGCCCCCCTCGCCCCGGGAGACCCGCATGTCCAGGACCACCTCGAACATGTTGATCAGTGTCTGCACAAGCTGGGAATGCCAGTACTGCACGGACTCCCTGACGCCGTGCGTCGCCATCGCCAGGTCGTCGAAGAACAGGCAGGTGTCCGCCCAGGGGAAGGCCTCGACGACCCCGTCCAGCTCCATGTATAGGACCATATTGAGGCAGAGGGGTGCGAACCTGCCTCCTGCCACAATGCCCCTGGCCCAGCGCCGCCCACGCGTGTAGCGCCCGTCGAGGACGATGCGCCTCACCATCGCGTAGATCCTGAGGACGACCTTCAGGATGAGGTGGTTGAAGCCCCACCGCGAGCCCCGCCTTCCAGACCAGCTCGTGGGTCACGTACTCGAAGCACTTGACCAAGTCGAAGTACTTCACGGCGTGCTCCAGCCCCTCCGCGACGGTCGCCTCGCAGAAGAGCGCCTGGACCCAGGCCGCCCGCTCGCTTGAGCGGCCCTTGGCAGCCCAGTCATGAGCCCGTCTGTTCGCCTCCTCCCAGCGCCTGGCGAAAGGGAACCGGATGGTCTCCCACAACCTCGCCAGCTCTGGGATCAAGCCGAGGTTCCTGTAGCCTCCTGCGGGCTTCGCGAGCAGGTAGAACAGGATGGTGGATTGAGGCTCGGGCCATGGCGACCCTGCCTCCACCGCGTTGAGCACGCTTGCCACGCGCGCTGCCCCTTGGACGCCTCTGTGCTTCCAGAGTCGCGGATGCCAGCCCGACTCTCCGAGGCCCGTCTTGGCGCGGAACTTGTCACTGGCGTCCAGCACTTCCTTGGGCGTGACGGGTGGCGTCCTGTACTCCTCCCTCTCGAGCGCTGTGGGGGGCTGGCACCATGGCGCAGTCGGGTCGTACTCATCGCCCCAGATCGCCTCCCAGCCCGCGAGCGAGTGGTCAGCGGCCTCCTGGGGGTGCGCGAGCGCGTGCTCGCTGATGTTCTCGTTCTGTGGTGGCGCAGTCGGCTGCCACGGCGCGTGCGGCCTGGTCCACTTGTGCATGGCCCCCGCGCTTGCTGCTCCGTGGTCACGTAGCCACCTCCTCCAGCCTGCGGCTGACGCGCGATGCACCAGCCTCCAGCTCCCCCGACTAGCCACGTCCACGAGGGTCGCGACGCAGCCGATGTAGTGCAGCTCCTGAGCCGTCATCCTGTCGACGTCGATGCTGCCCACCGTGTTCACGAATGCGGGCCAGCTGCTCCTCGGCGCCCGGCTGCTCCCCCCCGCGGGGTAGCGCTCCAACCGCGAGGCGGCTCTGTACCACTTCCGCCTCCTCGCAGGGGAGGTCGGGGAGGGCCGCGTCCTCGTTCTCCGAGACCAGCGACGCCGCCTCGCATTCCCACGCGGTGCCCTCTTCACTCTGCGGGCCAACTGCAAAAGGGCACCGCTGCGGTGCGGCGCCCCCAGCGGGGTCGTCTCCAGCGGCCCCGGCAGCTGCCTCTTCGGTGGCGGGCTGCAGGCCTCCCAGGGAGCCCTCTGGCGGGGCCGCCGCGAGGGCCTCCGGGGCCGCCCTCGAGATCATCAGCAGCATGACGACCTCGTGGGCCAGCATGGTGTCGGCCACGTGGATTGCCTGCCGCCTCGTCTCGTCGGTCTCGCTGGTCCACCAGCGCGTCACGAAGTTTGTCAGTTGCCTGAGCCGTCGTGACAGCCACTCGGCTGCCTCTGCCCAGGCCTGCTCCCTGGACGCCTCCTTCAGCCTCGGCGCCTCCATGTAGGTCCACTTGTAGACGGCCTGCTCGAAGTGCCCCTGCCGCCGCGTCAACTCCTCTCCTTCGAAGTTGTGCAAGCGGTTCAGGTGCTCCTCGTAGGCCACGCCCAGCGCCCGCCGGCGGTCATCCATGACGTCCTGGCTGTGCCCTCCGTGCCTCGGCAGAGGGCGAGGCCAATGCGTTGGGGGCGTCGCGCGCCCCATGGGTAACTCCAGCGGCCACCGCTGCGGCTTCTGGAGCACGTAGACCATCCGGTCGTCCCTGTGCTGCCTAGCGAGCCGAAGCACGACGGGGGAGTGCGGCGACACGTTGTAGCCGTTCTGCACCGTCGCCTCCAGCGGCCCGAGGACCAGGCTCTTCGAGACGATGAAGTAGTCTCTGTCGTACTGCTGCCCGAGCATCGTACAAGAGCCCTGCTGCCTGTCGTGCACGATGATCCCGTTCATCCTGCAGAGCAGCCCCGAGTCCCTGATGACGTGCGGGCCCATGTTGAAGTCGCCCCCGAGCACCCACTGGTAGCCAGTGGCGTTGACGACGCTCGCCCACTTGGCGAGGATCAGCTCGTTCCTGCGCGGTCCAAAAGTGAGCCGATCCGAAGAGCAGGCCTCCCTTGCACACTCCATCTAGCCATGCCACGGCTAGTCTTCCCCTCGAGGCTGGCGGTGAGATGTCCCAGCTGTTGATACCTCTCCGTGCGAAGTCCATGCCCTGGCGGCGCCGCGTGGCCACCAAGACTCCCCCACTCCAGCCTCCCTCCTTTTTGACGCTCGGCACGATGCCAAGCCTCCAGCCCAGCTTCTTCATGCGCCCGACGAACAAGTTGATCCTGTGCTCGTCGGCCTGCAGCTCCTGTGCCATGATGGCGGGCGTCTGCACCAAGTAGCCCACCTGCATCATGACCCGCTCCAGCGTGCCCAAGGAGTTCGCGTTGATGGTGATGAACTCCTGGTAGCCGCGTGCGTCGTCAGGAACACGACGGCTTCGTCCACTGCAGCTTGGAGATGGTGATGCACGTCCCGGCGAACATGCCAGCAAGCAGAGCAACCATATGAGGGGCGCGCACGTCCATCTGCTCGGGCGTGACGCCGCCGTCCTGCATGATCTTGCGCACCGCCTGCTCGTCGGAGCCCGTGGGGAACTCGAGCATGTCCTCCTTGACGATGGTGTCGGCTGCTGCGCGCCGCTTGGCGCGGCCTCCCTGGGAGGCGGCGGCCTTGCTTGCCTCCTCCTCCTCCTCCTCCTTGGCTCGCAGACGGCCGGCCTCCTCGGCGGCCTTAGGGGCCTGTTCGGCCTGGGCAGCCTTCTCGTCCTCAAGCTTCTTCTGCGACCGCGCGTGCTCCAGCGCCTCTTGCGGCTTGACGTCGCTGTGTCCCTGGCTGCCTCCTCCACCCCCGGTGTGCTTGAGGCACTTGGCAGCCTGTTCCAGGAAGGCCACCGCTGCGCCCCAGCCCGTGCCCAGGCTCGGCACCGAGAGCTCCTCGATCTTCGTGTTGAGCTTCTGCAGCTTTTTCTCGCGACGCTGTAGAACTGCACGTTCGTCGTCCAGCGCCTTCAAAGCCTTGGCCAGGTCCTCCTCCACCTTGGTGATGCGCAGCTTGCACTTGTCCCACTGCTCCTCGACCCTGTTGCGGTCTCGCACCACCCTGCATTCGGTGAAGCACCTGGGCACTCCTGTGTCGATCTGTGCCTGCATCGCGTCAACCCTCTCTTGGAGCGGGCCGATCTTGTCCACCACGAGCTCGCCAAGGATGGGGTCATCCGACATCTTCTTGAGCTCCGCCAGTTTGGACCGCAACGTGGCAAGCTGCTCGGCGGTCGGGTTCTTGTCCTTGTCGGCCTCGTCGGTGGACTTGCTGGTGCAACACTTCCAGCAATAGTCGTAGCCGTCCCCATTCTTGGAGGTGCAGTGCCCGCACCTCCAAGATCCATGCTGCTGCTGATGCTTGGACTTGGGGGCCATACGCTCTTGCACGCAAGGCCACTTTGAAATTGGCGTGCAAATCGCCCGCGCTGCCTCCTCAGGCAAAGGGCGGCTTGGGCGCAAAATGGCTAGGAGGAGGAGGCGGAGGAGGAGGAGGAGGAGGAGGCTGAGGAGGCTGAGGAGGAGGAGGAGGAGGAGGGAGGAGGAGGAGGAGGAGGAAGGGTCGCATAAGCCCTTCAGAGAAACCCTCTCTGGTCGACTTCTGCCCTCCCCCCGAGGAGCGGCCTCGTCCTCCGCCCGGGGGGCCGCCGCCGAGCCCCCGAGGGCGGGGCCCTCGAGCTGCACGCCGAGGCCGGCGCGGCACAGGCACAGGCCGAGGGCGGCGCGCAGCGCCCCCCTCGCGGCCATGGAGGTGCTCGAGGCCCAGACCCCCCCTCGGGTCGGCGACTCTGATTGGGACGCCCGAAACGGGTGCGGAAAAAATGAGTACAATGCCCGACAACAAATGTCGTCCCGAGCCAACAGCGGCCGCTGTTGGGCAGGCGGCCTTCTGTCTCGAATGGACACAGGCCGCGGCGGCGCGGAGCGGACAGCGAGTCCTGCTCAAAATGAACAGGAACTGCTGTTGGGCAGTGTACCCACTCTTTCCGTACCCATGTCGGTCATCCCGATCCGAGGGTCAGGGAGCCCACACAGGACGTACGCACCCGGCTATGTACACGAACACGGCCCCTCGATCCGCGAGACGGGCCCGCGTGATACGAGCATTCGGGCAACGCGTACTCTCGAAACCAGCGTTGGTTCATGTACGCGTACGTCCTTCTTTCGCCCCTGAAAGGTAGAGGCCTCTTAGATGGGGTCCGAGCAGATGGGGTCGAAGGATCGAGCCGCATCGCCACTGCATCCCCAGCGCATCGCCGACGCATCGCCAATGCATCGCCGACGCATCGGCGACGTCGGCGATGCGTCGGCGACGTCGGCGTGGATAAAATCGGGCTCCGCATCGAGCCGCGTCGCCGATGCATCGGCAATGCGGCGCGATTCTCTGGCCCCGTCTAATCGGACCCTATCTAGGAGACCTACACGTCGTTCATTTCTAATCGTGCTCATTTCAAATTGTGCTCGTGTCAGATTAATTGTTCCTGGCCCCCCAGTGGCCAGGAAGAGGCGCAGGATAGAACAATTAGATATGAAAGGATCTTGGCCCCCCAGAGCATACAAGAACCTTCGAAGAGTTAGAAATGAACAATGTGCAGAGAAGGGTGTTGTTTGCAAAGGGTGTGGTTTGCAAGCGGCACCCTGGTGGGCACACCGGGGGGCGGGCGAGGACGGGGGCGAGGACCTCTGCGCCGCGCCCCGCGGAGGCCCGCCCGACAAGGACAGAGTCGTACTCCCCAGGCCCCAGCGGTGCCGATCGCAAACAGCACTCCGGCGTAACCATGCCCTTCGTACTCGCCGACTCGGGTCATGGAAAGATCACGACGCAAGGTGTTTCGCTGTTCTCGGCCTCGGGGGGCCCTCGTCGGGCTTCGGGGCCGTCAGGAAACGACGCAGGACGAAAAACTGGTCCTGGGAACAAGATTGGGTCGAGACCTCTGGGGTCGACGCCATGAACGAAATCATGCCGTCGGGGGTCTGGACTCGGTTGTGCGGTAGCGGACAGCGCCGCCCGGGGAGCGCTTGAGAGGAGATGCCCACGGGCGGTGCGAGCGTGACCGACGGGGGGATCTTTGACGCCACTGGCAAGGCTTCCCAGGTCCTCCGCCGAGTGGCGCTCCCGCGCGGGCGCGCCGCATGGTTCGCTCGCCGAGTCGCCTAAAAGCGACAGCAGCGGGGCCGCGCGATCACGGGCGAAATGCCCACCTCGCCCAAGCGCCGCTCAGTTTGCGAGAGTAAGTGGCAGTGCTGTGTCGGCGCGTCACATGCTTCTTCTTCGCCGCCATCATCGGCGGTGATGTGTTCGGCATCGTGCTACCAGAAGGATCGCATAATAATGAACGAAGGGGCATTTCTGGCCGCGATGGGCCTAGGCCACGAACAGGTTCCATTGGATGAATCCACGGAGCGGCCTGGAAACCAAAGTAGTTTGAGCCCAAAGCGGTCATTATGTCAGCGTCTTGTCTGTAAGCATTAGGCAGGAGAAGAGGACGATGATGATGATGATGATGACGATGATGATGATGATGATGATGATGGTGATGATGATGATGACGATGATGATGATGATGATGATGCTGATGCTACTGCTGCTGGTGATATTGATGGCGATGGTCATGATGGGGATGCTGCTGATGATGATGCTGATGATGATGACGATGACGATGACGATGCTGATGCTGATGATGATGATGATGATGATGATGATGATGATGATGATGATGATGATGATGGTGGTGGTGGTGGTGGTGATGTTGATGATGATTATGATGGTGATGATGTTGAACCGCCCTCCGAGGCGCAGCTCCCTGGAACCACGTGCCAACATAACAATCATCATACACTCTCGGACCTGTCTTCGCATCCCAAAGACAAGACAATTTCGTGAGCCGAACTCGGGAAGAAGAGCAGCAGGAAGAGGAGGAGGAGATGAAGGAGGAGGAGGAGGCGGAGGAGGAGGAGGAGGAGGAGGAGGGGGAGGAGGAGGAGGAGGAGGAGGAGGAGTGGAAAGGGGTGAGCGATAGGAGGAGGAGGGGGAGTGGGGGAGCGGAGGGGAGGAGGGGAAGAGGAGGAGGAGTAGATGAATGAGAGAGGAGAGAGGAGGAGGAGGAGGAGGAGGATGGATGGGGAGAGGCGCGACAACTCGACCTGACCGGCTCTCGTTTTGCCGAGTCGCCAGACGCGGGGCCGCGCGCTGGCGCCACCCGCTCGCGGGGTGGGGACGCGTTCCGACCCCCAAGATCTCCTCCTCCTCCCCCTCCTCATCCCTCCTCTCCTCCTCACCCTAGCGCCTGCCTCCTCTCTCCTCCTCCTCCTCCTACCACTGCATCCTCCTCCTCCTCCCCTCCTCCTCCCTCCTCCTCCTCCTTCCTCCTCCTCCGTCCATCCTCCTCCTCCTCCTCCTCCCTCCTCCTCCTCCTCCTCCTCCTGGCTCAAGTCCTTGGCCTCTGGGGGCCGAGGACACCACAGCATTTCTCTCCTGGTCAGGTCCAGGAGCTTGGGGCTCCAACATTTCGCGTTCGCTTCCGCCCCCAGAGTTTTTCGGATCATTCCCCACCAGTCTGCCATGCCTGCCACTCTTGCGAAGGAGCACCTCTCCATCGTGATCTGCGGGCATGTCGACATCGGCGAGAGCACCACCACCGCCCGCCTCAACTACGACCTGGGCGGCCTTCCGCAACGCGAGCTGGAGAAGCTGAAGGAGGAGGCCGTATGCCTAGTACCAGGCCCCATCGCCTTCACGTTCTACATGGACCGTCAGAAGGAGGAGCACGAGTGCGGGGTGACCAGCGCCTGCACCACCCAAGACTTCTACACCGAGAAGTGGCACTACACAGTCGTCATCGATGCCCCAGGCAATCGCAATATCAACAAGGTCGCAAACCTGCAGAAGAAGGCTGACAACATGGGCTGGTGGAAGGGCTGCAATGCCAAGTACGGCAAGGACTGCGCCACCCACAGATACAAGCAGTTCCGCTATGCCGAAATCGGAAACAAATGAAGTTCAAGTTGGTCAAGGACGGGTTGTACAAGGACTTCGAAGAGAAAGAAACGCCTGCGATGCCAGTCTCCGGCCGGATGGGCGACTACCTGCTAACGAAGTCTGACAACATGGACTGGTGGAAGGAATGCGTCGGCGAGTACGGCAAGGCCCGTGCCATGCAAAACATCCATCATAAGTCTGGATGGTTTTACCTTTCTCCGCTTGCCGCCTGAGGCAAGCCATGCTGCAATTAGGGCTCGCTCCTGGCCTTTGCATTCCGCTGCCCATTGGTGCATAAGAATCGTGGGAGAGGCCCGTGGGATTAGCCTTCCCCGCTCTCCGTGATGAGCCGTGGTCTGCATCTGTGTTGCTTTGAATTTCTTGTCTTGTGCACTATTGCGGTGTGCACCCGTGCAGTCGTCTTGTTTCTAAGTGGTACTGTGCTTAGTATGTGTTGCCCAGTCGATCAAAGCTTGTAAAAGACAGACCGTAGCAGTCAGTAAATCAGGTTGAGAGCTTCCCAAAAGGGTGGTGCTTCCCTGAAAATCATGCACGGCAGCCCTGACAGAAGGGAGTGGCTCAGCGATTGGAGCTCCGCCGAGTCCTACGGCCCATCCCCACAGCGGGATCCCTGGCCGCGGGCGGCTAGTAGTCACCAGGCGAACGCCCCCTCCACCACGCGCTAATCCTCCTCCTCCTCCTTCTCCCCCTCCTCCTCCTCCTCCTCCTCCTCCTCCTC